ACAGTTATCCCAAAGGTGCTTTTTCATGAGGCAACTGGACTTCCTTTTTTTTTTTTTTTTTTTTTGAAGATGTTTGGCTTCTCATCCAAGAAGCTCCTTGAGAACTGAAAAAGCTTCTTGGATGAGAAGTGAAATGTCTTCAAAGAAAAAAATAAGGAAGTCCAGTTGCCTCATGAAAAAGCACCTTTGGGATTCATCATGAGTAGGACAAATTAAGTACTTTAGTAGGAAGGGCTACTTTCAAAGACGGTTGCTGGAATTGGGTACGTCTAGTTTAACGAAGAGAAGGACGAGGGGGGACATGATAGCAGTGTTCCAATATCTCAGGGGCTGCCACAAAGAAGAGGGAGTCAAGCTATTCTCCAAAGTGCCTGAAGGCAGGACAAGAAGCGACGGATGGAAACTAATCAAGGAGAGAAGCCACCTAGAACTAAGGAGAAACTTCCTGACAGTTAGAACAATTAACCAGTGGAACAACCTGCCTCCAGAAGCGGTGAATGCTCCAACACTGGAAGTTTTTAAGAAGAGACTGGATAGCCATTTGTCTGAAATGGTATAGGGTTTCCTGCCTGAGCAGGGGGTTGGACCAGATGACCTCCAAGGTCCCTTCCAACTTTATTATTATTATTATTATTATTATTATTATTATTATTATTATTATTATTATTATTATTATTATTATTATTATTATTATTATTATTTTATATCAAAAGCACATCAGAAGGTTAAGAGAGGCTGAGACTTGCCTTGTAGCAGGAATCCTGCGTAGTCACTCTCCTGAGAAAGCTCCAGTGCCACGCAGACGTTTCGTTTGCTGATATCTTCCTGACAAACAGGAGAATACGAAATATGAGATCAAGCTAGTCCTGTTCAACCAGGATAGCAAGGAGTCCAAAACTGCACATTTTTGCTGCAGAACTGAACAGCTCCCTGAGATATTTGACAGAAGAGCAAAAGACTTTATTAGAGAAGGTCTGAGGGGGACAAGAATTCAGCCCAGCACAGATAATCCTCGACTTAATGACCACAATTGAGCCCAAAATTTCTGTGGCCAAAATTGTTAATTTTTACAACCTTTTACAACCGGGACACTGCCGCCGTCATAAATAGCTGATTGCCAAGCGTCCAAATTCTGATCATGTGACCATGGGACGCTGCAATGGTCATAAGTGTGAAAAAGGGTCATAAGTCACTTTTTTCAGTGATGTATCTTTGAACATTCCTTAAATGAACTGTTGTAAATTGAGGACTACCTGTACTTTTTTTTGCACAGTGGTCAACCAGATGTCTCATTAAAGTGGCCTCAAAAGACATGTGTGCAGTAATATCCTCCCAACTAATAAAGAAAAAAGGAAAGTCTTCTTCAAATTGAACTGTCCATGCAGTATTCTTGACACAGCCTTCTCCTAGATATTTTTTTTTCCTTCTAAATCTACATCTATAGCCCTGGAGATCTTCCCTTTAAGTACTAACCAGACCCGATTCTGCTTAGATTTTAAACTCTGACAATAGTTCAATTAATAACAAAACATTTTTAAGATTATGGGAATCACACAATAGATTTTAATAACTGGGATGTTCAAAAAGACAACTGAAAATTGACAGGTAGATAGATATAAGCACTAGCAGTTAATATGAGACAAACTCACCACTTCATTTATGGATCTTATATGCAAGAGGTTTTCCCTGACAAAACAAAAAAGACGTGCAAAACCTGGAAAACAAAACAAGAATGATTCTAGGGGAGGGCAATTTTTCCTTCATGTTCATTAGCATACACCTAGATGGTGCTTTTATTTATCCAGTTAACTATATTTTGATTGGCTGAGAATGCTAATTCTCATAAATGAAAATCATTTCTTCTGTTTGAAGTTTATTCTCCATGGCTACTAAATAGGAAAAACTTGAAACTCATCTTACAAGACTTCATTGAATAACACTCACAATAAATTGTGAAACCAATCAGCAAATTAACTGTTCATTCTTAATGAATATAGATGTATCGCTGCCTACCCATCTCATCCACTGTTCCAAGGAGATGGGAGACACCACCAAGGACTGACAGCTGAATGGAGCAAATTTCAAGTTTGGTTGCCTCCCAAGTAGACAAGTTTTCACAGGTGGTTGAGCTGAAGACAGAAATCCCAGTGGAGTGCCCCATAAAGATGTACCCTTCAGAAGCTGACAGGCAGTTTACCCTCCCTGATACCTGGGAAGATTTAAAAGAAGAGAACATGTTTACCTCATAAACGTGAACATACAATATGGATGTCATAATAATTCCAATCCCTCTATACTACAATGTCTTTATATGGAGGATATATATATATATATATCCCATATTTAGGCTGACAGGGTGTTCAAAAAGCACTCATTCTCTTCCCCTGTCTCTTGTAGCTAACAAAGTGAGAAAGAGCCTGTGACATAGGGGACTAATGCTTCTGCTTAACATGCAGACAGCCCAGGTTCGAATCTCGGAAGGGTATGTCTGACTGATGAAAACCAAATAAGGTTAGAAATAGCTATCTCAGTACTCCCTTAATTCTTTGTTAGCTTTTAACTAGTTCCATGCTTTAACTTCTCTGACTCATTAAAAATATTTAATAAATCTGTGAGTAAAATAATTTTAATGGTTTTGATGGAATTATAACTAAGGGGTCTCTGGGGCAAAGGGGTGATCTAGAAATATTTAGATTTATGTCTTGGTGGTAACGTCCAATTCATATCTCCCTGAAATTATACCAGAGTTAAGCCAAAAGAAAACCAATTTGGTTGTCCAAGAGGACGACGCTGTAGAGGAAAAATAATATGGTGCCAAGGTCACATATCAAGGTTTCCTTGGACTCTTTATCTGAAAGAGCCTTAGATTACCATGAATTTGTTTGTAGGGTGACAGAGTAAGGGTGTGAAACTTTGCTGCTTCGTCTCCTGTAACGGGCGCCTTTCCTCAATTCGTTCCCAGGCTCTTTCAAACAAGTCTTTCAATATTTTATTGATCATGCAGAAAGGCTGAGGCAAGGAGTCTAAGAGTTCGTCAGGGTCATTCTGGAAGAAATTTTCTTCTTCATCTTTTTTAATCC